CGCGAGTCTGAGAAACTAAGTTGATCATAGCAGCAATCAAGAACCTGTTCAAGAAGAATCAAGATGTCATCTGCTGCTGCTTCCTTGCTTTTCCAATTTTTATTCCATCCAAGCCTCTAACCTACTGGATGGTGCCATCCATGCTTAGGGAGGGTCTCTAGTTTATTATCCCACATGCCAGTCATTCCTAGACACACCTTCATTGACATGCCCTAATTGACACACACAGAAGCCTCTTAAACTTCAGCATATCTTAATTCAATCAGATTGACAGTTGAAATTAACCATTACATGTCTACCTCTTGTCAACTTGATATCCAAACATGACTCCTTACATCATACTTAATATCCAAATAAACACAGTAACAAGGTCATAATTCAACCTCACGTAACTATCCTTTGTACAACTGAAAACACAATAGTTCTTTCCCTAGAATGTAAGGAAAACCAAAAACATTTTAGGCATCTCTTAATCCAATCAAGTCGAAAGTTCAAATTGACATATATATATATATATATATATATATATATATATATATATATATCTGAATCTCTGCAGTTTTACAAACACAATCTGCATTGTACAATTCATGTTTATGAAACACTATACTATCCTATACTCAAAATTGTATTTTGTTTTTATGTTGAAATTTCTGAACTGTTTTTTCTAGGTATTTTTTACTAAAATTTTAGAAATTAAATTTAATTAAAAATCCTCATGGAAATTAAATTTTTATATTGGTACCTATACACATACATGTTATTGTTAATTCAGTCTAGCCCTTGCCTGCTTCTGTTAGATTACATCTTATTTCTTCACCATTAATGAAGTATCTGATATTTGTAATTGAACTTCTAAATGGGGAAAGACCAGTCTCTAAGGGAAAGTGTTCTGTTGAAAATACCATATGACCACACACACACACACCAAGACACTTCTGCTACTGTATTCTCTTTTTTTAAGTTTATCATTGTGAAGTGAGGAGATAGACTTCAGCTTAAAATGTTAACAGTTGCCAAGGTTTAATTACATATCATTGAATATAGTTTGTACAGTTAAATTTTTAATGAATTCATTCATGATGATAACTAATTTTGCATAATTTTGATATTCTTTCCTCCATATTGGTTTATAATGTCATTTGATCTTGAAAATGAATTTAAATAACTTAATATGAATTTTTATCTCAGCAAATCAAAATTTTCACACTTCAGTTCTTTAAAACCAAGTAAGAATGATTTTTGTCTATTTAATATTTAGGCATTTAGAAAGGTTAGAAATAAAGGATTAATTTTACTAAATTTTAGAACAATGTATGAGCACATATACAGATTTTTATGATATTGTAAATATTTATGTTGGTGAACATTAACATGTCTTAATTTCATATAATTAAAGATTAGTTTCAGTCAGGATCACTCTGCTAAAAACAAAATAATTTTTAAAAACACTTTTTTTAGGGGTAATATCTTGATCCTCAAAACACTAAACCCAGTTTTGTTCAATTGAAAGATAGAAAAAAATTTAACTCAGGGTAATCAGCTTGTAAAATAACCAACACTTTTTTTCTCTTATACACTGCATAATGACAGAGATAAACACTTCTTTATATAGTAAGATTTTATAGGCAGCTAGAGATCTGGAACTGAAGTAGACTTGAGAGAATTTTGTAGGAGAAAGATTTAGAAATCACTGATGTAGACATCACTGCTCAATCCTAGGAGCAAATAAAGTTTATATGAGAGCTAATATAAATGAACAAATGTAGTGAAACAAGACTGAAACCTGGTGCCTGCTCATATGTAAATGCCTGGCTGGAAAGGTGAGAGTGATGGATATAAAGGCATAGACAGGAAGAGAGAGATGGCAGATTATATTAGATAAAGAGGAGACTTCAAAAAAGAATGGGATGGTTAAGGGTTTATAAAAGATATGATGTTTGTGGGCAAAGCAATGCAATTTTGCATCCTCATAGCCTGCACATAGTAGGTACTCAGTGTTTTTGTCATATAAATTAATGAAAAACTTGTCAAAAGAAAGTTATATTTAACACCAAGAAACACATCATTAGTTACTTAAAAACACTGTTTCTTAAATTGTCTCTTGCCTGCCTACAGTTGTCATTTAAAGGCAGATTTAAATGACAAACTCCTGTTTGTCTCCAAACTGATGAATTAGAAAATGCATTTGTAATAAGTAACAGATGTAAATTCTTGTCTCAGGGAAGTTTGAGAACAGTTGCATTTGAATTTGTATAAAGGGTGAGTGATGGCAGTTACATGTATGGGGATTAAGGGGGGAATATATGCAGAGGATGTATAAAATGCTTCTGTAGGTTGCCTTTAATTAGCTAAATAGATAGAGGGAAGGAGGGACTAAAATCAAGTGGTGATCTTTCAAAGATGTGTATTAGCATACAAACTTGAAATCAGACACCACACATATTTTGATCATTTTAGTGCAGCCTATTATATCTCATAGCAAGTGAATAGTTCCATATTGGGACCATAATAGGTTGTTGACATGCAGCTTTTATTTCCTGGAAGTCTGTGACTATGTTATTTTTATTTAAGTTGTGTAATCAGTTAATTATGGGAAAGAAATCCAGTATTCCCAAGTACATTTGATTAATGTTAATTATTCTGGTGTCTTGGGGGCTAATTTCCTGAATAGGTTTGTTCTCAGAGTACTACAGCAAGACAGCTCATGGTTAAGCTGCCCAGAATAATCAACTGACTTGCAGTCTTATTTCTTCACCTCTATAATCAGTAATTATTTAGACAGGTATTTTTGCTCCCTGAATATCCCTGTACTAAATCACTGCACAGATCCTAACTCTGAGGATCTTTACTTAGAATGCTACCTGCTAGATAGCAAGAAGATAATTCATGTTTACTTGCCAGTACTGATATGCCTTGAGTTTATCAAAAGAACTATTTGATATTTTCTACAATTATTTAAATGCTGAATGCTTGTAATAAACCAAAGAGAGATAATGATACTAACACTGGAGTTAAGAAATTGGTTGGAAAATAGATCAGAAAGGTAGAAATGAAAATAACTTGTTGATAATTCACGTTAAACTGAAGTATGTATCTTATCAGTGTCTATTTAATAACTTTCAAGTATGAGAAAAAAAAAGAACAACTGTACAGAACCAAGAGGATGGCTGTGTGTTTGTGGAGAGAGAGAAAGCCAGAAAGGAAAAGAGAGAAGGAGGAAGGGTTAGGGGGGAGGGGGAGGGAGAAAGAGAAGGAGGGGGAGAGAGGAGGAGGAAGAGGAGGAGGAAGAAGAGGAAGAAGGAGGTGGAGGAAGAAGAAGAAGAAGAAGGAGGTGGAGGAAGAAGAGGAAGAAGAAGAAAAAGGGGGAGTTGGAGGAGGAGGAGGAGGAGGAGGAGGAGGAGGAGGAAGAGGAAAGAAGAAAAGGGAAGAGAGAGAAAAGAGGAAAGATTTATTACAAGAAATTAATTTACAGGATTACAAAGGTTGGCAAACTTCAAAATCTGCTGTTGGCAAGCTACAGACCCAGATGAGCCAATGGTATATAGTGCCAACCTAAATGCCATCAAACTTTAGACACACAAAAAGCCAATGTTTCAATTCAAGTTAGAATATGGGAAAATAGAATCCATGTTCCAGTTTAAAGGCAGTCCAGCAAAAGAAGGAATAGTTTTACTCAGTGGAGAGTCAGTGATTTCTTCTATTTAGGCCTTCAGATCAGATGAGTCACATAATCAGATGAATCCCACCAAATTAGAGAGAACATTCTACTTTTCTCAGTCTGTCAATTTAAATGCTTAACTCATTCAAAAACATCCTTACAGAAATAATTAAATTAATGTTTAATCAACTACCTGGGCACCTCATATAACCCACACAAATTGACACATAAGTTAACCATCACACCTAAAAAACAAGAGGGGAAAAAAGGGAAAGATATAGTTGGATTTATGAAAAACTCAAGGAAAAATGCCAGCCAAAAAGAAGAGTTCATTTCTCATTCTCTAAGTTCTTTTAAAATCTATTGTATGTTGGTGCTAGTGGAAATAATTAACACTGCACAGATTAGTGATTCTGATTCAGATTTCAATGCACTTTGGCACACTATAGAGCAGTGTGGTGATATTGAATTAATGCAAAACATACCCTATTACATCCGTTCATACAGGCTTCTGAACAAAGAAAATTAAACATTAGGGTTGCCTGTAAAAGTAAAGGATATGATAAGGAGGTGTTTACATAGGATGAAACCAGAATGGACTATTCATTTTCAACCTTTGGTCACTGAAAGAAAACATCTCTTTAATATAACCCATTTAGAAAAGCACATGTAAGCTTAAAATTCCTACATCCCATAGTGGGGTGTGTATGAGTGTATAGGTGTTTATTTGTTTTTGTGTGTGTAGTAATGGGTAATTGACACTTTCTTAGGTTTCTATAATTGTTCAAAATTTCAAGTAAATGTTTATATAGAAACATTCACATTTTTCGATGAACTTTGGATATAACTACAGATCTGCCTGAGGGGATTTGTGACATGATGCTTTTCCTTAATGAACTACTTTCAAAATTTTCACAAGAGGAATCCAAAATAGATTATAATTAATTCCCCTGTCACATATTCTCCTAGGATAAAGTGACATATTTTCAGAAGTGGGCTACCCAAAAATTAATCTGGCAGGGGGATGGGTGAGGAAATACAGAAGGAAGTGTGTTTTAAATACTTTTCTGTAATTCACTTGCTTAGGTTTAGGCTGCAGCTATTGGGCTTTGGTAGGAAAGAAGCTGGGCTAGACATTTGCAAGTCCAGACAGAGGGCTTGTGAGCTTGAAAATCTAGCAGCTGGGGTGTGTTGTGGTAGCTGCTTTCCTGTGCTAAGCTGATTTACTTGTTTAAGGTCTGACCTCATCATCCTGTCAGTATGGGTTCCCACCTACACTGTTAGCAACAGCTTTCTGCTTCAGCTAGAAGGCTAGAAGTATTCACAGTGTATCACAGGCAGAGGGGGAGGGGAGAGAAAGCAAGAAAGACTGCTCTCTTGTGCTTTTGTTAGTTTTGCAGAAGAGGCAGAGAAACAAGAGATAACAAAGGCTCGGTTTCCTTTCTGTTAGAGAAGGCTTTGTCTTTCCTTTTGCAACAATGTCTGTGTCCGGCAAGAAAGAATTTGATGTGAAACAAATCTTAAGGCTGCGCTGGAGGTGGTTCAGTCACCCTTCTCAAGGTTCGCCTAACACTGGAAGCTGCCTTCAGCAGGAAGGATATGAGCATAGAGGGACCCCGGTTCAGGGCAGGTTGAAGAACCACTCTCGGGACAGAAACGGACTGAAGAAAGGCAACAGTCCTGTCCACTACAATATACTGACACCAGTGTCGGGACCGGCCGCTGCTCATCAAAGAGCCCTTCAGAATTGGCACCAGCAAAACCTAATAGAACACCTTCAATCAAATAAAAATAGTCCTAAAGGAGGATCAGAGGAGAATTTGATCAAAGAAGATTGTGATAAACATTCACAAAATTTGAAGATGAAGCCTGATAACCACAAAGAAGATTCTAAAGCAAGGTAGGAGTTTTGGGTTATATAAGTGAAAGTCAGACTATTTTAACTTATTCTCTAAAACTTTCAGGTTTAAATAGAAGGTGTTATAATAATCTCTGAGTTTTTATGTAGCCAGTCAAGGTCTCTAAAAAACTCCCTCCTCTAAGTTTATAAAGGAAAACTGTAATAACGCATCTATTTTGATAATTAATGAAATTAATTTTAGGGTAGTGAGTTTATTTCTCCTGTTCCATCCCCACTCCAATAAGAATTGTTCCAGTTCTAAGAGATATTTTTATAATTTTTAATTTTTAAAAAAATATCTCTGTGGTTCAGATGTTGAAATAGTTGTGATTCTTTGAGCAAGTGTGATAAATTACGAGAATTCTTCCTGATTTTGTGAGTTAGACTAGCTTTGACAAAATAAAGGCTCTGGCTGCTCAGCATATCCTTATCTATTGCTTAATACACAGTTATAATAAGGACTTACAAAATTATGTTATTGTATATGAGGATATGAAAACTTTCTTTGGCATTGACATTCAAGTTATGCTACTTTCACAACTAGTTTGCAATCATGAAAATATTCGCGTAAAACAAGTAACAAGATGTTGCTTACAGGGCTGAGGCTGTAGCTCAGAGGCAGAGTGTCTCCCTCACACTTACGAGGTACTGGGTTTGATCCTCAGCACCACATAAAAAATAAATAAAGATAGTGTGTCTAAACCTACAACTAAAAAAAAAAAATTAAAAAACAAGATGTTGCTTACAACAATGAGATCTTAAAGTAGGAAATGGAATATGTCAGCTATTTAGGACATTAAAATGAAAGAAGAAATAATATATTGTGTTTGGGTATAGTCCAGAAACAAATTGATTTTATGTTTACTTTTGTGTCCATTGGGCCTATTTGAGTTGAAAAAATATATATTGTGCCCTCTAATATTGTCAAATATAATTTAATATAGTGAATTTTTATGTTTCTATTTCTTCTCTTATTCATTATCAGAAATTTTTATATTAATATATTTTAGACACAGATGAAGACCCTTGCAATGTAATTAAGTTTTGAAAATGCTATAGAGCAAGACATATTTTGATCTGCTTAAAATACCAGTTCAGGACTGGGGTTGTGACTCAATGGTAGAATGCTTACCTAGCATGTTTGAGGCACTGGGTTAAATTCTCAGCACCACATAAAAATAAATAAAGGTCCACCAACAACTCATAAAATATTAAAAAAAATAACAATTTAACAAAAAGCTATGCAATTTTATTTTGAAATCTGGAAACTTGGCATACTGTGTCTCTGTGGAGGATGCAGAGTTACTCCTTGATAAAAGTTGTCCCAAATGTGTTTTAAGAACACTGTCTTGCTTCCATAAATTGAAAAGAGAAACTCTAAAAATAACGTAACATTATGACAAAAGACAAGTCAAATGTGCCAACTGACACCTTTATAAGAACTAAGTTTTGTTGAAATGTAAACACATAGAAGATTTTTTGAAATGACTTTAGTTTACTGTGATATAGGCTTCTTAAGAAATGAAGCATGCACGTGTGTATTTTCTAATATATTTTGTGTTTACCCGAGGAAATGCTATGTAAATACTGAGATTGAAAGTTGCATTTGGTACACCTAACAGGACTTTCACAATAATATAAAGCCTATATTATTAGACTCAGCAGTTTCTCAAATTATGTCTCCTTACTGTGAACAACATTTTAAAAAATGTTGAATTTGGAGATTAATGAAAGCATTTAACACACAGTAGACAAACTGAAATTGTTCGCTGTGCTCCCCTGACAAAATTCTCTGAGTACTCATGAATTGATTTTACCTCATGGAAATGTTTACAAAAAATTAGATTCTATAAGAAAATGCTGGCTAAGGTGTTGAATGCAAAGTATCACCATGTGATATATTTAAAAAAATAGTCTCTCTTTTGATTTTTCTGACTGATGATATTTTTTTATCTTTTAAAAATTATTCTGTTGGGGCTGGGATTGTGGCTCAGTGGCAGAGTGCTTGCCTCATGCACGTGGGTTACTGAGTTCAATCCTTAGCACCACATAAAAATAAATAAACAAAATAAAGATATGTCCATGTGTAACTAAAAAAAAAATTAAAAACATTATTCTGTTAATTATCCAGTGGTTTCAGAGGAAAACAAATATTTTCTTAAAAGAGGAAGTGGTTTTGTAAATATGCTAAGTATATCTTAGGCAGAAGGGAAGGACTAAGTTAAATGAAATATGATGCTTTATTACTCTCTCATTACCCAATTTGAATCTCTCTGTCTTGCCCCAGGAAAGACTAAGAAGCAGTTGTCTGATGTCTTGACTCTCTAATAATGCCTTTCTTCTTCAGCAAGTTTGGGGAGCAGGATAAAAGGATTGTGGCAGTAGCCTGTATCCCCAAAATATAACGCCTCAAGTATGTAGAATTATCACATTAGTTTGAGATGAGCTCTGACACTTATGCAAAGTAAGGATCTTTAACTATTCTATATTCTATAAATATTACAGGGAATGAATAAAGAATGGGATAAGTTTGAAATACACAATATAAAATATGAAATACCACAGTTAGTATCTCAAGAGGTATTAAATCTAACATATTAAAATTATATATTGTTTTTGAAATTTAAAAATTCAGGTACATTTCTGTAGCATTGTATTATAAATATGTAGTATATCTGAGAAAAGCTCTACATCCTGATTCAACATTGTTAAGTATGCACATACCAATATGCTTTACTATTAGAGACCTAGGTTCAATTATCATTTTCTTTTTGTCCTAGTTATCTACAGACTCTGCATCTTTTCTTCTCTGTAACTACCTTGCTCAAGTGTTCTTTTTTTAGTTTAACTATAACTTCCAACAAAACATTTTAGTAGTACATTATGATTATACTTTCTGTGACACAATACATGGTTATGAATCCATATATTTATATATTTATTTTATTTTTTTTTCATTTTTTGCAGTTGTTAATAAATAAACAATTGCATAAGTACTCAGGTAGATGCCACAATGTTAACACTAGGCAACATTTTTCAAAACTGAATTGGCTAAGTCAAATGTTTGATGATATTGACTAAAATGCAACTGACCTATTTATGGTCCAAGAATATGTCTTAGTACAAAATTTGAGGTTCTCAAAACTGCTTATTTGAAAAGAATTGGCAGAAATGGGGATCATGATCTCATTCTATCCGTTAAGGATTCAGGCTTTTGGATACCCTGCCAACTTTATTGATATATTAGTTTGTATATCTTTGCCAGTGCTGCACTGTCAGAAAAGACTCCAAATTCCCTCTCCACTTGAGCTCTTTTGAATTTTCAAGTGAAAATTTCCTAGGAAAAAAGAGCAAGTATCACTGTTTATGTTGATATCCCAAAGGAAGGTGGCAAGATATAGAATTCATTAGTAATTCATTCCACATCTATTGAGCACCCATTGTGTCAGGTACTCTTCTAGTTTCCAGGAATAAAATCAGATTAAATCAGTTGTTTTCATGGAATAAACATTTTAATTGAGAGGGGCATTAACATAACCAAAAATATAATATTTAAGTTGTAATAATTAGTATGAAGAAAAATTAACTAGAGGGAAGAGAGTGAATGGGATATGCTCCTTTGGATAGGGAAGGCTTTTCTGATGAGGAGATATATGAGCAGAATTATATGAAATGATGGAAGAAGCCAAGATGGCTGACTCAAGAATTTGAAGCAAATGAGAGGTTAGTGCATCTATTCTGCAAAAAAGTTCGTAACTACCATACATCTTGTTTTATACAAATCTTTGCCAATTGCCCCCCACACAATCTATTAATTAATGCCTAAAATATACCTTAATTTACTTAATAAAAGTTTTTCATTTCTGCATTTGCAAACAAGAATAAAATATGCCCTGTCCTTTTGTTCATTAGTGATTTTAGGATCATGTACATGGCCCCTGGCCTCAGAGGTAACTTTTCAGTCATCCTTTAATAATGCTGCCATTTTTTCTGTGGGCATCTTTGTATTCAACCAACAGATCATATGTTTCATTTACAGAGGCTTATGCCCTTTGTGAGACATTGCCACATGGTAGTTTACTTCCTTTTTTATGAAAACTTTTCAGATAGAGACAAATCCATTGTGGATCTTCATCCTTCACAGAAACCCATCTGTGACATGGAATCTGGGAAATGTTTATGCATGAGGGAAATCCTGAATTGAAAATAGTGAAACTTACTATAATATTCTTTTCTCATAAAATAAAAATGAGCTTTGTTGCTACTTGAAGGAAGAGTTTCCAGGAAAAATGAACAGCAATTTCCACTACCTTGATATGGGACTGTGCATGTTATGTTCAAATGCAAGAAAGTCAGTGCATATGGAATAGAGGGTTCAATAGAAAGAATGGAAGAAAGTGATTTTGGAAAGATAACAATAATAAAGCAATAATAATGGAACTACAAAAATTAAAGGTATCATTTATCAACATTTACTATGTGCCAGGCACAAAGTACTTTACATGTCTTTTCTCATGCTTTTAAGAAAAAATTTTGAAGGTGAAGATGGTGATCACATCTATGATTTATCACATGACAATGTCAGAATAAATCTCTTGGAATTATTTTGTTGTTGTTGCTAGTCTTCATACAAGGCAAAAATAATGTGATTTTTTTTTTCAGATTTAGGCCTACTTTATACTGAATTATTTCATAGAGACTGTTTCAGAAAAATAGATAAGGAACAAACTACAATTTTATTGTTTATAGAAAGATTGAGGTTAAATTTTCTTGCCTGTGCATTAGAACATGTTGTACAAAGTTATATAAGTAGTTAAATTATTTTACTAAATTTGTAACATTTCAACAAATAGTTTGAATTTAATGCAGTGGTTTCTAATGTTTGTTTAGGAATGGAGCTTCATTTGGTTGATCTTAAATTCTCATTAATTGTAGCTTGTGTCTTTGGAGTGAAATACTCTGGCCCTCCTCTCTCATTTGGGGCACACAATTTAAGTTAG